CAATACTGTAATGTGTGCCTTACTGTAATCCATGGTTGTTTCCCTTCTCTTTGCTGCTCTTCCTTTTAAATCCGTACCTCTTCTCATGCTGGGCAGAACTTCTGTTTTGCAGCAGACTGCCTTGTCTCTGGAATGGATACACGGTGTCTGTGTGCAGGTTCACAACCTGAGCCAGCACTACAGGAAGAGGCACTCAGCTGCAAAGGGAAGTTCTCCCCCAGCATGAGAAGACATGAGGATTTAAAAGGAAGAGCAGCAAAGAGAAGGGAAACTACCATGGATTACAGTAAGGCGCACATTACAGTATTGGTTTATGTTAAATAATCTGAGGGTTTAATGTCACTTTAAGCTCCAGACCAGATTGTTTCCGGACCCAAAATGCATCCTAATGTATCCCTATGCTATTTCTGGCCTCTGTTGAGCGCAGTGCGTTCCAGACCAGACCAGACCAGAAAAATACTGCATGTCTCATTTTGTCTGGTCTATACCACACTGGAACTGCGGGCTGCTTCACACCATTTTCTGGATCAGATCTGGTCCGGAAAATGTTGTGAACCTGACCTAAGTCAGCAGTACTCGGCCAAAATTCAACAAGTGTATGGTCAGCGTTACCTCTCATTCCGTCCCTTGCTTTCCTTCCAACTCTCCTTCTCCCAGTTTCAGTCTCTGCCTTCCTCTTTCACTGTGTTATGCCCCCCGAGTCCTCATTACCTTAATTTTTCTATTTTGGTTTTGAGACCACCCATGTCCTAATTATTCATTGGCACTGTAAACCCTCTGCTATCAGTACTAAGGGCTCTACCTCCTTCCTTCCTGGGACCCCCACGTGTGGCATCTAGGGCTGCTTGCTTAAAGGAGAACTATGGGGTCAGTGTTTTTCCCCATAGTTCTCCTTGGGGTAACGGGAGGACACAAACTAGTGTCCTCCCGTCACCCTAGGCTCAGTATATAGGGAGCTACAGCTCGCGGTATACTGAGACACCGCACCTGGAGCGGATCCCGACTTAGATGATGGGATCCGCCCAGCTGCGTGAGTGACAGCTGGCTCTTAGGTCGGCTAGAACTATGAGATGAGTGAAAAGCCCCCCCCCCCTCATAGTTCTCCTTTAAGTTCCTCTGTGGCCTATTCCACATTTCAGTAACTACATGGAGATGGGTTTCCTTCACACAACCCTCTTGTTCTTCTATTATTGTTTATACATCTTATATCTCATATATCTTGTCCGATGGAAAATTGTATTATTACTTTGCAGAAAAACTAAAATGTGCAATGATAACATGAATTGCATGAATACATAGTGACCAAATACTGTATAGGAGTGCCTAACAGGAGGCTAAAGCATTGAGAGATCCCCCATCTGTTACTGGGGTAATTCTGCGTCCATGGATTCCAGGCTGATACTCTTACAATATTATGATTATGAGCTTCTCCTTCTGTAATGTTCAGCACCTCTATGGCACTGTGAACAGTATTAATTGAAGTGAGGCTCCACCCTTACATACCGTATTTCGCGTTCTATAAGGCGCTCCGGACGGTAGGACGCAGTGCTTCTGTGACAGGAATACTGTGACAGAAGCTGCAGTTGGTGACCGCTGGGACAGGTGGCGCTGTCTCAGTAATCGCACAGCAGACGAAGAACGACCTTCTTCATCTGCTCAAGGGGCTCTATTGTGAGCTCCTCTGGGGGACAGTGGTCACGGGCCCACAGAGGAGCGGGGGTCCCCGAAAACCATGGCGGGAGGCGGACACCCTTACATTCCGTATTTCGCGCTCTATAAGGCGCTCCGGACGATAGGACGCAGTGCTTCTGTGACAGGAATACTGTGACAGAAGCTGCAGTTAGTGACCGCTGGGACAGGTGGCGCTGTCTCAGTAATCGCACAGCAGACGAAGAACGACCTTCTTCATCTGCTCAAGGGGCTCTATGGTGAGCTCCTATGGGGGACCGTGGAGGAGCGGGGGTCCCCGGAAACCATGGCGGGAGGCGGACACGATTGCCTCCGCCGGTCGATTTAATACAAGTGATCTAATTGGATCACTTGTATTAAACGAGCAGCGGCTCCCACTATACATTCAGCTCTGCTTGTCCGGAGCAGGGCTGAATGTACAAAAATCTACTCGCCCGGCGCCCGAAACTGCATGTCCCGTGCGTCGTGCAATAGGGGAAAAAAAAAAGTGCGTCTTATGGAGCAAAATATACGGTATATAGGAGGTGTCATTCCTCATTTGTTTTGAGGACTTTATACCAGACCTGTGAAGTTACTTGCTTTGGTCCAATTTGTACAATGTCTCCTTTTTTCTTCTCCAGCTCCTGTGGAGGGGAAGCCAGACAAGGGTCCTTCAGAAGCAGCGGAGACTCCAGGAACAGGGAAGACGCCCTCTAGGATGGTGACCAGACTACGGAACCCGGACAGCAAGTTAAGTCTGTTGAAGAATCACCAGTGCATTGCTGCAGCCCATGAAGCTAATAAGATTTTTAAGGATGGCAGAGAGGTTTGTGTTTTTGTGTCGGCCATCTTGATCCAGCTGCGCTTAATGGACTGACTCTAACCTCCACCCATCTCTCTGGTTCTCTTCTGGTGTCATCTGAGTGAATGGGCCTAGGCCCACTCTTATCTTTTTTTTTTAAGTTTTGATTCCCTGTTTTCTAGTTTCTGGATTTTCCCAAATGTCCCCAACGTGTATTGCCTTGGGTGGTGGAGGATTCTTTCCAGAATGGAGGTTGGAGAACTGTAACTTTGACTACTTCTACCTTCTCTCTTGCATCTTCTGCTCATTTACCAGAATGTTGCCTGCAGTGCATCAGGGAAGCCATCTTAGCCTAGAACAGTGGTGGCGAACCTCGGCACTCCCAGCTGTTTTGGAACTACAAGTCCCATGAGGCATTGCAAGGCTCTGACAGCCACAGACATAACTCCCAGAGGCAGATGCATGTTGGGATTTGTAGTTTTTGGAACAGCTGGAGTGCCAAGGTTCACCACCACTGGCCTAGAGCATGAGTCTCGCATCTTGTACCTGCCTTTAAAAAAAATGTGGTCTTTGAGGGATTGATAAGAATATGTTATTGATGGTAGAATAGGCGATCCGTGCTTTTATCTGTGTTTCGGGGGATTGGAGGGAGTCCCGCACAGATCTGGGCACCGTAGGGTTAACAAGCACCTGTGGTTTTGTATTGAATGGTTGGAGGACAGGCCAGGTATTTCATAGGCCAGGTGTTTATACTTTACATTTATTCCATCACTTTTATAACTTTGTAATATATGTTTATGTATTAAGTCATTTACAGGAAACGCAGGCATTGGTTTAATCCCCCACATACCTTAACGTGTACCTGCGTTTCCTTCGCTCCTGTGCCACTCGGTTCAGCATTACGAACCATACACGGGTGTGGAGGAGCATGTGACTGACACCTTGTGACTGTGCCTGGCCTATCAGCAGTGTCAGATGGGAAGTCCATATTGCTCTGTGGGCTTCAATTCCACAGACACCTGATTTCTGCTGGGCTCGCCTGTTTCTAGTGGCTGAACAGAGTGGGGGGGAAGGAGTGTAAGTATAGTCTGCTGGGGTTGGGGATTTAGGTGCCCCCTCCATTGGTGAAGTACAGGATCACTTTAAGTCATGCGAAGGTATAATAACATTGCACACAGTTATAGGAAGGTATAATAACATTGCACACCGTTATAGGAAGGTATAATAACATTGCACACCGTTATAGGAAGGTATAATAACATTGCACACAGTTATAGGAAGGTATAATAACATTGCACACAGTTATAGGAAGGTATCGCATTGCACACAGTTATAGGAAGGTATAATAACATTGCACACAGTTATAGGAAGGTATAATAACATTGCACACAGTTATAGGAAGGTATAAGAACATTGCACACAGTTATAGGAAGGTATAATAACATTGCACACAGTTATAGGAAGGTATAAGAACATTGCACACAGTTATAGGAAGGTATAATAACATTGCACACAGTTATAGGAAGGTATAATAACATTGCACACAGTTATAGGAAGGTATAATAACATTGCACACAGTTATAGGAAGGTATAATAACATTGCACACAGTTATAGGAAGGTATAATAACATTGCACACAGTTATAGGAAGGTATAATAACATTGCACACAGTTATAGGAAGGTATAATAACATTGCACACAGTTATAGGAAGGTATAATAACATTGCACACAGTTATAGGAAGGTATAATAACATTGCACACAGTTATAGGAAGGTATAATAACATTGCACACAGTTATAGGAAGGTATAATAACATTGCACACAGTTATAGGAAGGTATAAGAACATTGCACACAGTTATAGGAAGGTATCGCATTGCACACAGTTATAGGAAGGTATAATAACATTGCACACCGTTTGCATTTCTTTGTGCGGTCTTGCACCAGTCTCTGGCTGCCTGTCACTTTTTCTCTCCAGTGGTGGTACATGGTGGTCTGCTGCAAGATTCACTGATACGTTATCAGTCTGTGTGAGTTTACAAGCCGGTTGCCTGTGAAGGGTGGACAGATCAATGTAGAGTTCTGGTAGCAGATCTTAGATGAGTTTTCTTTCCAGCAGCATTTTTACATCTCGGTGACCCTGCTCATCTTACCATAGATGCTAGCAGCAAGTCTTCAGGGTAGATGAGCTGAAAGCGGGCCACTATATGCCATCCAGCACCCTACCATATGCCATCCAGCACCCTACCATATGCCATCCAGCACCCTACCACATGCCATCCAGCACCCTACCATATGCCATCCAGCACCCTACCATATGCCATCCAGCACCCTACCACATGCCATCCAGCACCCTACCACATGCCATCCAGCACCCTACCACATGCCTACTGCTGGGCGGAAGCCAAGGCTGATTTTAGTTACTTTATTAACTTGCCATGAATTTGCTCTTACAGGTCCTGGTGGTGAATTCCCAAGGGGAGATCTCTCGGCTGAGCACCCGGAAGGAGGTGGTGATGAGGGGCATTCTTGGCACCTATTTCAAACTGGGCCAGGAGGGAAAGTACCGCGTTTATCACAATCAGTACACCACCAACTCGTATGCACTGAACAAGCACCAGCACCGGGAGGACCATGACAAGCGCAGGCATTTGGCCCACAAGTTCTGCATGTCGCCCTCTGGGGAGTTTAAGTGGAACGGCTCCGTGCACGGGTCCAAGGTGCTGACTATATCCACGCTGAGGCTGACCATCGTTCAGCTGGAGAACAATATCCCCACACCTTTCCTGCATCCCAATTGGGCCTCTCACAGGTAATATGCTCAGTGCTGTGAGCCCCGTGCACCTGCGCTGTAAGCATGGAGTATAACGCTGCTTGCTCTTCTCTCTGCAGGTCAAACTGGATCAAGGCTGTCCAGATGTGCAGCAAACCCCGTGAATTTGCACTGGCGCTAGCAATACTGGAGTGTGCTATTAAACCTGTCGTCATGTTGCCGATATGGAAGGATTCTTTGGGCCACACCAGGTAATCATTTTGCTAAAAAGAAAAGAAAAAAATTGACAGTGCGTCATGAGGTCACTTGCTGTAGTAAAGGCCGGTCTAGGTAATGCAGAGCATTTGTACTCTATAGATGGGGCTAGGCTAAACATGGTGACGCAGGAAAGTGCTACCCAGGCAGTCAAAGAATACACAAGCTCCATCAGTGACTCTGCCTAGGCTGTGATGATGTCATCAGTCTGCTGCAGGCAGGAAGAAGCATTTCCTCAGTCTCCCCTCCCCCAGTGATCAGACTACAACATTGTACATTTAGGTCACACGTTGAGAGGCTGCTGTCAGACATTTGTGACCACAGCCAGGAACTGCACAGGCACCGGGATGTACATGATTGTGTCATCCCAGAGGCAGCATGACACTTCAAGAAGTGGAGGGAGAACTTGGATGATGCCTGATCCAAGATGGCTGCTCCTGGTGTCCAATATGGGCGCATTTTCCCGTGTAACCGCTCGGGCGATTCGCGTTTGACCGGCGTCATCTCGCGGAAGCACTTACAGGATGTTGTTTGTCCAGGTTACGGAGGATGACGTCCATGGAAAGAGAAGAGAAAGACAAAGTGAAGAAGAAGGAGCGGAAGCAGGAGGAGGAGGAAACGATGCAGCAGGCTACTTGGGTCAAGTACACATTCCCCATAAAACATCAGGTAGGTGGCCCCGGGGGTTCGGGCTACGGGGGAAGAGTCTGGCTGTGATTACGTATACCGGAACCTTTTCATTTATCTTCTCAGGTATGGAAACAAAAGGGAGAGGAGTACAGGGTCACCGGCTACGGAGGATGGTGCTGGATCAGTAAAACACATGTGCACCGATTTGTAACACGCCTGCCTGGAAACACCAATGCCAACTACAGGAAGGCTTTGGGTAAGGCACAAAAGCATCTTCTGTCCCAATTTTCTATTGTTTCCTCTTTAGTATTTCAGTGAACAGACAGACAAGTCTTTTTATGACTGTGTATGTTTCTCTCTCTCTTTCGGCACTTCTTTCTATAAGTGTATACTGGTCACTGATCTACGCATGCGCAGCTCAATGTTTGGTCTCAGGATGATGTAACTCATGTGCGTATGCGCAGGAGTTACGTTATTCGGGCCTGGCTAATAGAGGCAGAAGGCTCTGAACCTGGCAGAAGGCACAGAGGGTTAAGATTAAGGATGGGCTCGGGCGTGTTCGCAGCTCCACGCGCCGAGCCCGCCAGGAAGCTGACAACGCCAATCACAGGCACTGAGACATTTTCCTGGTCCGCAGCTGCAGAGATCGGGAAATGGCCCGATAACCGCTCATGTCAGTCCCGGGACCTCTTCCTCCAGGACAGGAGGAAGAGGTCCCGGGACTGAAATTAGCGGTTATCGGGATATTAAATATCCTGGTAATCAGCGGTTACCAGGGGCCCCTTCCTCCTGTCCTAGGCCCCCTCCAAGTGGCGGAACTCCAGGGCCGGGGTCGCAGCTTCGATCTCTGCGACCCTGGTAGTTCCGCCACAGGCCACAGCTCCCGCTGATTGTTTACATCCAGCGTCACAAGTCTCACTCTCCTGGCCTTGCCTGTGTGTTACAGCCCAATAGACTTCTAGGCCGAAGCTGAAGGGAGATGGCGGGAAGTAGAGCCCCATAGAAGTCTATGGGGCTGTAGTGTGCAGGCACATCCAGGATGTAAATAAGCAATCACCCAAGTCTCTTGCCATTAAATAGAGGTAAGTGCGCATCAGTGGAGGGTTGTTCAGCTCAGGTCAGGGCAGTGAGGCAAAAAGAAGCGCACTTTTGTATTTTTTTTATGTCACGGGGCATTTTTGTCTAATGTAAACTTGTCATCTTTCCAGAAAACAGCAGTGAAAATGCTGAAATCAAGGAGGAGGTTGATTCCCCCAAGGTAGAGGAGAGTAAACCAGATCCACCACAAGTGAAAGCTGTGAAAAAAGAAGAGGAGGAGGACCAGAGGGACCAAATTAAACAGCAGATTGAGGCCAGCGAGAGGGAACATGCAACAGAGCAGGACACTGGCGCTACAGAGAAAGGTACAAATCCGCCTATCACCCGCCTGTAGGGCAGATTGTCACTGCTCAGATCCTTCTGCTCGCTGTGTTTAGGAGGATGCCAATTCTGAGGGTATTTTACTTTCATTAAACTTGTGGGATCCTCTAGTTCCTCGCTTCTCAACTGGTGGGTCGTGACCCCATGTTCAGTGGGTCGCCACATGCCTTCCCCCTAGCGCAGCACCATCAGTTTTTGTGTGAGCAGCCATTCAAAATATGCTGCCCGACCCTGCGTGTCAGCTTGAGGAGGGCTGGAAGTATGATCAAAAGGGAGCTCCATCCATATGTGCGTTGCTTACAGCTTCCACACGTGCCCTGTAGAGGTGCCTGGACCGGACTGATGTCACATTCTGGCACCCGGCACCTCTACGGATATGGATGGAGCTCCGTCCCAGCACAGCAGCCCATGGACCCCAGGCTGAGGATTCACTCCATAAGGTAGGGAGACTGGGTGGAGCTTAAAAAAAGAATTATCTTTTTTTTTGGTGTGATTGTGTGTGTCAGTGTTTTTGAGGGTCCGTTCACACTAGTACACTGCGTTGATCCCAAAGTCCCATGCGGTTAATGCACTGTACCACCCAGTCGCACCTACTGCGCATTCTGGTGTGGAAGGTGCGTTGCGTTGCCATTAATTCGAATGACACCCCAAACGCACCTCCCGCCCACAGTCCGCCTGCACCCGAACGTCCCGTAATGCAATGCCGTGCATTCCATTGCAGTGCGTCTTGGGTCGCGACTTAATGACCAAGAACAAATGTGGGTCCTGAGGTGCACAGGTTGAGAACCACTGCTCTAGTTAGTGAGATCTTTTCTCTTCAGGGTTGTCACAGAAGCCTACTGAGTAGATTTATACTGATCTTGATTGTGTTCCTACAGACAAAGCAAAAGTCTCTCGTAAGCTCAACCCCCTCCCATTTATTCTGACTTTCACTACAATCCCCCAGTGCGGCTTCTCTGTTTGAGCCGAGAGCCCAAGGGTTGATGATGTCCTCCTTGCGTAGCTCAGTGGGGCGTAGTAGACCTACAGTTGGCAGATGAACATTTTATGCATTCTCTTATTGATGGTGTTCCACATGCCCATCTCTGCCCCAGCATCTCAGTAATTGTCTGCCCAGTGGGATTGTGGACTTTGTTTCAGTAACATTTAACATACTATAGCTTTGGTTTTCACCTTTTTGATTGATTCCACCTCATCTTTACAGATCAAGAAGAATCTGAGCAGGTCAAGGAGGAGCCAATGGAGGTGGAATCATCACCCGGGAAAGATGAAACTTTTCCCGACGCCGATTTAATAAACGTCAGCCTTGGTTTTCAGATGAGGACATGGTATAAAAAGAAGGTAAAAACCTCTCGCCTGGACGGGCTCCTAGAACGGCGAGTCAAACAATTCACGCTTGAAGAAAAGCAGCGGCTTGAGAGACTTAAATTGGGCGGTGCCGCTAAACAGACTGAGGTCGTTGGCTTAAACCAGCAGCCAAGCTTGCCCGAAGGCACCAAACAGAAACCTGAGGTTGATGACGAGTTACGCATTGCTGGCAAACTTGTAGCTAGGAAACTGAATATGGATCTTGCCGATGGTCCTGGGGCAGAAGATGCATCAAAGAGCATTTCTTCTGGTCAGGAACCCGGTGGCAAGCCAAGTACAAGCGATTTAGTGCCTGCGCCGAGTGAACCCAGCAATGCAGTCGATGAAAAGCAGGATGGTGAACGGAGCTCTTCTCAGAGCGTCGACGTTCCCACCGAGACGACAAAAACCAAAGAGGAGAGTCAGAGCAGCGCAGATCAACTCCATGAGAACCGTTCTTCCAGCGCTCCAACAGTTGCGTCCTCATCTACTTCATGCTTGAGCCAAGAAAAAGACCAGGGTGGCCTGGAAAGCCCTCCGTCTGTTCCTTGCGAGCCCACAGCAGAAAAAGACTGTTCAAATTCTGTAAACAATAAGCCGGTCGTGCCTGGAGAAATCAAAAACTCCACTGTGGTCAGGGAGGAGGGTAACTGCAGCAGAGCAGACTCCAGAAGTCAGGAGGTCGCACATTCTGAGCTGGCATCAGAAAACTGTGCAATGGCAGGAACGTCAGACCAAGAAACTTCATGCGACTCCCAGATGGATGGTGCAAGTCGGTCTTCTAATGGAGATCAGGGCAAGGAGAAAAGGACTAATGTTGCACTCAAAGGCTCTGATTTCCGTGACATAAAACGCAATAATGTTCATTCTCAAGAAGGAAAGGCGGAAGTAGCACCGCAAGTCAACGGTAAGGATGTGTTTTTAGGAAAAGGCTCAGGCCAGGGCGTGTGTGATGACCGGCCTGTGCACGAAGCTGAGCCAAATCCAAAAGACGTCTCGGATCATGATGTAAGATTAAAAGAGTCAAAACCGTTCATGAATGGAGATGTGAACATGGAGGGCGTAGAGGACAAAAATGGAGTCGCTGCACCGTTGTCTCCCAGTCAGTGTGAAGACTCAGGGAACACAGAGAAGGAAAGGGTATCCCCAAACTCTGAGAAACATGCTAGCCATGCTAAGAACCTTGAATCGTCTAGTGACTCGGGTGCCCAGGCATTGCGCAATCCTGCTTCTGGTGTAGAGAAGATGGATGCAAGCGACCCTCAAAGAGTCTCTTCTCCTGTCATCTCAGGAGAAGAGTCCAGTCTGAGTAACGATTCTGCCGAGCAGAATGGTTTGCCAGCGGACATAGTCAACGGGGAGGCCAAAATCCATACTGTTGTAACAGAAGTGACTACTACAACTTCAACTGTGTCGACGTCGAGGACTGTTGTGGCGGTGGGCGGTGGAGGGTCTTCTAAGCAGACGACGACGGTTGTATCCTCTACAGAGAACGTCTCTTTATCAAGTACGACCACTACCGTAACTGAAGTTGTGTCGCCGAGTCCCTCTGATAGCGTTGTCTCTGTGCAGGAGCATAGTAAAACTGTGGTTACCACAACCGTGGCAGACTCTGTGACCACCCCTGAGGGGACTCAGTCTTCTTCCATGACCGTGAGCAAGGAGTACACCACCAGGGACCGCGTGCGACTCATGAAGTTCTCCAAGGCCAAGAAGACCAGGTCTGGAACAGCTCTTCCTTCGTACCGGAAGTTTGTCACCAAGAGTAACAAAAAGAGCGTATTCGTCCTACCGCTTGACGATCTGAAGAACATCTCGCGTAAGGGTGGAATCCGAGAGGTTCCTGCATTCAGTTACAATGCTAAGCCTGCACATGATATTTGGCCATATCCTTCTCCACGGCCGACGTTTGGGATAACATGGAGGTATGTACATTTTCTGATTTTAATGGACGTTGTCACCTGGTAGTTCAGTGACAAGTGACGGAACGCCTTTTAGTAATAAAAGCCACAATGGATTTTTCTTTTATATAAATGACGATTGCGACTTATTGTGCGTACGTAACGTATGGTCATTGCTGATGCTGTGTTCTCAGGTACCGGCTTCAAACGGTGAAATCTCTGGCGGGAGTGAGCCTTATGCTACGTCTCCTGTGGGCGAGCTTACGCTGGGATGATATGGCAGCCAAACCCCCTCCTTGGAGTCATGTCTGTGGCTGTGAGAATCTTGCAATGCCTCATGGGATTTGTAGTTCCAGCACAGCTGGAGGGCCCGAGTTTGGCTACCCCTGATCTAGGACGTATATTTACATTTCACAGAATCTTCCGAAACGGAGATCACCACCACTGAAATAATCAAGAGAAGAGATGTTGGCCCGTACGGAATCCGATCCGAGTATTGCGTTAGGAAAATCATTTGCCCGATCGGCGTTCCAGAGGCGCCAAAAGGTAAGCGGGAATCCTCTCCTCCCGATGTTTCTGCAGCTATTTGTGATGCGGCGACAGAAAACATGACGGAATTGTATTATATTGCAGAAACTCCGACCCCACAGAGGAAGGGCCTTCGATCGAGTGCTCTGCGACCCAAAAGGCCTGAAACTCCCAAGCAGACTGGCCCGATCATTCTGGAGACCTGGGTACCCGAGGAGGAACTGGACCTATGGGAGATCAAGTGCTTCTCTGAAAGGTCATTTTCTGCTTTGTACTAAAAGTCGTCTTCTTGTCTTCCTAACCGCTACCTGCCAGTTATCAATGCATCTCCCTCATGCCTTCTCTTCCTGTGGCTGGATTATTATATACACCGAGTGGCCGGATTATTATATACACCGAGTGGCCGGATTATTATATACACCGAGTGGCCGGATTATTATATACACCGAGTGGCCGGATTATTATATACACCGAGTGGCCGGATTATTATATACACCGAGTGGCCGGATTATTATATACACCGAGTGGCCGGATTATTATATACACCGAGTGGCCGGATTATTATATACACCGAGTGGCCGGATTATTATATACACCGAGTGGCCGGATTATTATATACACCGAGTGGCCGGATTATTATATACACCGAGTGGCCGGATTATTATATACACCGAGTGGCCGGATTATTATATACACCGAGTGGCCGGATTATTATATACACCGAGTG